CAACCAGAAATTATGAATGTGATGAGCATCAAGTGAATTCAAAAAGAAGTGTAGAAGATGAATGGGGTACTGATATTTATTGTCAAGCTATATTGAAACACGATATTGAGAAAGCTAAATCACTTTCAAATGGGTTCAATAAAAGAAGAAGATTCAATTCAATCAATGAACAAGCGACTACACCAGAGACCTTAACCTTCAATGAACAAGTAAATTCAAAGAAGAGTGTCGAAGATGATTGGGGTAGTGACGCTTACTGTAAAGCAAAACTTAATGGTGATCTTGAGAAAGAAAAATTCCTAGCAAATGAATTCAACAAAAAGAGGAAACTTATTCATTACTACTCTTCATTCGAAAGGTCAAATAATTCAGTTTTCAATGAACAGAAAAGCAATATTGAATCAAATACTAAGAAAGTTAAATCAATTATAATAGTTCCAAAGCAAATTAACCAGACAATTGAACCAGAAACAAATCATGTATTTACAATTGAGCTTTCAAATTATCATCCTGTTGGTAGTAGAGTTGAACCCAAAAGACAGTGAATGACTTCGAATGTAGATCCAAAAAGTTAGCCTGGAAATACAGGCAACGAAATGCAGAGAAAGTGAATCAAAAGACTGAAATGAGAGCGATGAAAACTTACCACAAAAGAAAGACTGAATTTTGTCAACAGCATTTAACCAAACTTGGACCACCAAAACATTTTGCTGAACTTATTTCACGTAATGTCATTCAATTAGGTAAAGATGGTTTGAATGCTTGTGCATTAGATATTGAATGTATTGAAATTGAAAATGAAGAAGAAGATGGATCAATTAAAATAAAGCTTGTTCCATGTTGGGTTGCGATCATTAATTCAAATGGTGAAGTAACTTTGAATGAATTTATCAGATATCCACAAAAATCAATAAGAAGGATGTTGCAAAGTTTTCATGGGTTGTCATGGAAAGAGATTCAATATGCACCATCATTTTATAAAGTGAGACTTCAGGTCATTGAAGAAATAAGAAAGTACAAAAGAATCATTGTTTGTAATCAAACTGTTGATTTTGCTCACTTAATGATAAATGTAAAAGATCACAGATACTTATTACCGAGAATTGTTGATATCACATCTTATTATAATTGCCGCTCAAATGCAGACTCAATTGCACTAAAATATATTGTATTTGTCATGTTTGGTAAAATTTTTCAAGCTAAACACCATTCACCGTTACTTGATGCAGCATTTACGATGTACTTGTATTTAATCGATTATCATCGTATTGAAATGATGTTGAAGAAAATTTCCATAAATTGTACACCAATACGGCTTTACCATGATTATCGAGGTTATATTTATCCTCCAAATGAGTTATTTTGTGGTTTACTGAAAGACATCATGAACCAAATCAAAGACTGGCCATTGAATGTTAAAATTAATGTTAATACCAAGAGGGAAATCCAGGAAAAGGATGCAATTAAGAAATCATATAGTCAAATGAAACTATGTGATCACATTGAGGAACCAAGGCCAACACCTTACAAATACGTCGAGGGAAAGTTTCGTTTTTTCTGCCACCCAAGTACCCGTAAATAGGTACTAGTGTGACCTTAGGGGGGGCATCTGTAAGGGGAAGACATCTCAACTTTCCCTCTCCACAACCAATCACATATCTTACTTCAAATGATGTAAATTAAATCATAAACAACTGAAATCACAGCTATTTCCTTTTCCCTTTTAGTAGTATAAAAAGGTAATGTAAAATAAGACAAGTTGTCTGTTGAATCTCTAGATGTCTTGAGTCATTTTACCCTTAAATTCTTGTGTTAGAATTAATACTGATTGTTGAACATTTCCAATCAGCTCAACCCTACCTACATCTTTCCTCTTACAGTTCACCTCATATTGTATTTCATGTTAATTCAAGCTTATCAATAAAGTTCAATTCAATCTAACTTGTCGGGTAAACATCGTTTACCTTTGGTGTATCTGATATCTCTGTTCAAAAAAGGTTCTCTTTACTGTTAACAGAGTCTCAGCATACGAACAAATTCTGTGTGGTGATTCACTGATCTCTTATCCCCGGTGAAACACTTACAATTGTTAGTAGATTATTCAACAGTCCCTCAATCTATTTGTTTACATAGATTACATTGTATTTGATCAAATTTTATGTTACTTTCACAATAAATAGCATTTGCCGTGTAAATAAGCTATTTCCAGTTACTAACATTATCTGGTAGATGACAGTATTTCAAGTGACAATTACTGTTAACTTAATGTATCGTTAAAAAGAATCGATATCAATATAAAGGTATTGAGCATTTAAAGAGTAAAATTAATGGTTTTCAGTAAGTAACTCTCAGGGTCTCTAGAAACAACTGAAAGCTCAATTTCTTCTCAATTCTCTAATTCTTTGCCTGATAATTTCATCAAATTGACGTTTTTCGGCATCGAGCACTAAGTCTAAAGTATCGATACTTTTACTCAGAAATAAACAGGGAAATACTAACAAGGAAGATGCTTGTAAGATTGCTATCAATTTTTTCGAGTTATATTTTAAAGAACAAAAAATAATTTTGCCTTTTTTGTGTGCGGTTGATATTTAGGCATTTTAATTGCAGATATTAATGCATTTCAATGACTGAGAAGCACATAAAGCAAATGAAAAACAGAAAATGAAAAATCTCAATGAAAATTGTGAATCACTTTTCAGTGACTTCAATAGATTGCAATGCAATATCCTCACTTAAAATACCTAAAAATCAATAATCGCGCATCAGCGTAAAAAAGCAAAAATAAGTGTCTAATATTTTCATCTTTGCAATATAAACTCGAAAATTGAAAACAATTGTACAAGAAACGGCACTTTCCTTGTAAGTCGAAGCAAAACAAGTTTAATGGCTAACTATCAGCTAAGCGCAGCTGATTTTGGCACAAAATTGAAATTTTTGTGGTTTGAGGGTAAAAATTTGATCAAATATTGTGGCTTGACCTTAATTGTCCCTGTCTTGAGCGTTTTTAAAACAAAGGCAATTGATTTTAATTTTTAATTTTCATCTTTTATTATTATTTATTATGCAACAATTTAATTTTAATTACAATTCTCCTTTCATAAATTATTTTTGCTCTTCAAAGCTTTGCATTAGCAAATCTTAGTTTACTTTTTTTACCAATTTTAAATTTTTTTTTGCTCAAATTTACTTTTGATTTGTTTTCAATTTTCATATTTAATTTTATTAATTATTACATATTAATAGTCATTTTTTTCAATGGGTTTTAAAATGAATGTGAATGTGTATCTGTTTTGCTTCACTTCTTGGTATTGAATGTAATGAGATGAACAACAACAAAAAAAAAGGTCATGATGCGATTCATTTTTTGATTTTTTCCAAAGGCTTTTATGTCTCATCGTTTGTTTCAAAGTAATTTATTAATTCCAAGTTTGATGAATATTTGATTCCTTAATATCTCTAGATAGATCATTTGGGTGCCATCAAAACATTAACAAACTCTGCAAAAAGACAAGAAAAATCATTAGTTGAATTTTCATGAAAACAACATCAAGGAAACTGTTTGACTGTAGAGAAGCTCAGGTTCAGCGGTTTTAGTGCCTCAATCATAAGTAACCTGATGTGCAAATGTCTGAACAAAAATCCTCTTCGACCAGTAATCTCAGTATTTGCTCATAAAGGTGATTACTGAAGATTTCTTGCTCAACAGAAGCAGGTGGTGTTGGGATAATATTGAAAAAGCGGTTTTAATTTTGTCCCCAAGAATCACTATGACATTTGCAGGGTTGATTGCCATGATTCTCGTTGGAATTGGGGCGAAAAATATGAATAGGAAGATTTAAAAGCGTGAGGAGAAATCAAATTGACCTTTTCTTTTCTGGTTATAGTGATTTGTGATTTGCGAAACGGAAGGAAGCGCCTTTTTACACAACTTTCTGATCATCTTTCAATTGGCACAAGAATTCAATGCTAAATGTAGCGTTTGGAAGCCTTACCTTGAGAGTCTATTCAATGGTAATGAATTCAGTCAAATAATATTGAATGGTTCTGATTAAATGAACTCTTTTTCTTACCATCATAATTGACCAAACCATCGCCATCCAGATCAGCCTCTTTAATCATATCTTCAACCTCTTCGTCGGTCAATTTTTCCCCTAAATTGGTCATAACGTGCCTTAACTCAGCAGCGTTGATAAAACCATCACCATTCCTGTCAAATACTCTAAAAGCTTCTCGAAGTTCCTCTTCTTTATCTGTTTCCTTCATTTTACGAGACATCATGTGAAGAAATTCATTGAATTCAATAGTTCCATTTCCTGGTTTACAAATGAAGAAAGCAGGGAAGAAGAGAAGGAAAAAGAAAATATAAATTAAAAGAAAATTAATTCAAATGAAAATGTAAAAGGTTTTCATTAATTGAATGAGAAGCTTAAATTTTATGCAAAACTGGCAAGCTTCAAGTTAATCATCTTTCAACATTAAACCTTTTTACACCATTTCGATATATCTGAGCTGTTCGTATCAATGAATTGCTCGAAATATGGAAAACTTTTTATTCATTATTCTAATGAAACATTTATCGACAATTCAAGAGATAATGTTATCTGTAAAACAATTCATTTCTAGAAATAGACTCAATGGCTAGGAGTTGAGTTTGTCTGGTAACTCTGCACTCCAATTCCAAGTATTCTATCCAAATCAATTCTGGTTATTAATTTCTGAAAAAAATCTCTTTTCTTCAACTTTCTCAGATGATAATTTTCGGTGAATCAAACCATTTGAGACTAATCTTTTGTGAAACCATCTTCGGAAGTAGTGGGTGACTTGCTATCACTTTCTGAATAAAAAACAAACTCCTACTTAATAGACAAAAGCAATCCAAGATTGAAGGCAAATTGAAAACAATTGAAAGCATCTCAAGTTATAATCATATCAAACCTTGGCCAGCCAAAGGAATCAGGTAAAGCAATAAATTGCAATACATTGAGCATCATTAAACATCCAACCCATCTTGACCAGGATTACCTGGAAATGTCAACCACTTTAACAATTCATGTAAAATTTTCACCAAAAAATCTCCAAACACAAAAAACTAAAGGGAAAATTTTGAAATCAAATTTTGACTTTTGGTCCACTTTTCGTTCAATCATTTAGCTTTTTTACCTAAATATCGATCCTTTAATGCTTGAGAATCATAAGCTAGAGAAATGATGAAAGAAGGAAAATTTGTATCACTTTCACTTGTATCTTGTATATGTAATGGCTAAAAGATTACCAATTGTTAATGCTTTACAAGTTTACATCTATTAATCAACATGAGCTAATCATTGTATACTGTAAATGAGCAGGATTAACGGAAATTTATATCCAAATAGAAATGAGGAAAAATGATTAATTTTGCTTATTCCTCTTGTTATTGGTTAAATGATCATCACTGTAATGAGAGAACATGACTTTCTATAACATTAATCGGTGGAAATTTTTTTCCGGATCAAGTTTTCTTCTCTCAGAACTTCTTTATTCCTTCATTCCATCAAAGTTTATCCTTGAATATAACACACACTCAGAAAAGCATAAATGTATGTTATATTGAATTCCGGTTGATCAGGTTAAAACCATTTCGCTTCAATAGCCATTTAGACCATTTCACTATACGTAACATCGAATCCAAATACTTGAGATTTACCAATTTAATTACAATCATCTTGATCGGCATTATTTACATATTTCATGTGATATTGATTAACAGTTTAATCAAGACTATCAAGTGAATAAATGACAGGAAAATGACATTGAAACGATTAAAAACAAAAAGGCAACTTGACTACAGTTTTGGGTTAAAACCAGGAAAAAATATCAAAACCTTTTGATGTTTCAATCAACTTTTGAAATATTTAATTTTACTCTTCACAATCAATCCATCAAAGCGTAAATAAGTTGATCAATGGCTATGGAAATGGTTTATAATTGTTGGTTTGGTTAATATTTTGGGTTCATGTTTTGCATTATCAATTTGAATTGAAAAGATGATTCTTGATGTTTCATTTGGCTTTTAAATTGTTCACATTATTCATGGTTACCACTGAGAAACGTGGTTGGAAATATTAATACGACTATTGAGAGTCATTATATTGTTATTAATATTGCCTTTTTTTACAGTAAACCCATCAATGTGAATAGATAATAGAGAAACTTTCTTATTTACTCTTCAGTTGATGGTTTTTGATGATGATTTTGATGATAACATTGATGATATTGGAAACTCATGACATGGATTTGATGATGATGGGAGTTAGGATTTCAAGTCAATGAGTAAAATGTTTACAAATGATGATTTATTTGCTCTAAATATGTTGATTGTTGTTTTGTTTTCTGGTTAGAAATTCTGGTTTAATGTCTTTCTTCATCATCATCATCATTTCAATCCATGAGGTTGAATTAAAGATGTTTATTGTCAGTGAATCGATTCAGATATTTTTGTTTTCTTTTACCTGATCAAAGCAAAAAATGTAAAGGAAAAAAATGTTTTTACCTTTTTACCTTTTCTTTTCACAAAAATAATGTTAAAACATATATTTAGCCTTTTGGGAAGAAAATCTGAATCAGGCAATTTTCCTTTTCTTTCTTCATGATAACTTCATTTTCTTTAAAAAAAACTTGTCAAATTGAAATATCTGTATCAACAGAATGTTCATTTGAAAAAAGGTAAACTCACCAGAAACATGGTTTTTTTGATTGAATAACAAATTTTCTGGTTAATGTTGTTAACCAATCAATACATATCTTGAGGTTATCAAATTACAATTGTCAGGTATAAGTTATTATAATCCAGACTTATCTCAAAGATTGAAGCTTTGAATAATGAGATTTGGCTTTTTTTGGGTTCTCAGTGAATTTGGGTTTTGTTTATGTTTCTGGAAATAGGTTTTCTATTGTCTTTGGTTGAAAATTTGGTGATGTCTTGGGTTTACCAGTGAACAATGAATTATCGAAACAAGGAGTAAACATTATCATTAAACAGGGAGAATGTTGAGCAATTTGGATTCATAAATTGTTCAATTTGGTGTAAAACAAGTTGAATAAGGAATCCAAATAACGTAAATAACGATTTAACCATTTAACTGGTAAAAAAAGACAGTTTGGCTTTTTGAATTAAGGGAAAACACTGGGAAGAGTAGAGTTGAGTAGGAAAACAAATTAGCCTTAAAATGAGAGAAACAAAAGTGAAGATGCAAAAAACAAACCAAATTATATGAACCATGAATATAATTGTACTGAATTTGTTAAGCACAGGGAAAGAGGTGAAAGCAATGGATGATTCTTGACTGAATTTTAGGTAACAAATCATTTTGGAAGCAAGAATGGCGTTCACAAGATGAACAATTGTACTTTTACTGGTTGCCTTTTTTTGGGTTTACCCAAAATCGTCAATGTAACTTCAATAATGAGAGTGATGAATGATAATCAGGAATAAAAAATAACACTGAACAATAATGAACAAA